GCTATTTTTAATTGTGTAACATACATGATTGTAAGCTATTACTTTAAAACAAGGCCGCTGGGTTTCTTATTGGTTCTTCCCAGGACAGAGGTATTTTTCCGAACCAGTGGTAAATTAAATAAAAGAGTGACTTTCAAAAAGTATTATTTTTATTCTGTATTGAATAAAAAAAACTGTTTCTGTTTCATAAGATTTTGTGGAAATGTTCCTAAGATGCCTCTTACGACACCATTAAGATTAGATGAAGATATCTTTGCTTTTAAAAACTTAACTTTTTCAATTCAGTTATAATGTACGTATGCATTATATGTATTATAACTTAATGAATTTATCTCAAAAAAGTTCTTGTCCATTTTTATTCGATAGAAGAAGAATAAGTGTCTAGTACATTGTAACTCAATGGTATCTAAATATATCTTTCAAACTGGTTGTAACATTAACCTTCATAACATTAAAACTACCTTAAATAAGAAATCTAAGAATATATAATATTTGAACACTTTCTAATAAAACTATAACGAAATTCTACAGTTTAAATAATTACTATATATATAGAAGAGGTGGCAAACGAGCATGCGGCTCACCTGATGTTAAGTGACTACCGCCGCCCATGATCCACCGTAACACCAGGGGAATTGCAGGTGCGTTGCCGGCCCTTTAGAAAGGAGTACGAGGGGCAGCCTGAGCACCCACACTCAGGAGTGGAGAAACATTGTCGTGGATGCTCAGCGAGGGATTCTCCAGGGGTGCTGGTACCCGCCTGAGGTAGTCTATCGTTTAATTCCGCTACCATGTTGAGGGGGGGGGGATTTGGGCCTCCGGCCACCTGCACTCACCAGACGAATCGCGGAAGCAGAGCTTTCACTTCACGCCGGTATTCTGTGAGGTCGTGGTACCACCCCTGCTTGAGCCGGCCAATACGTGCAACAGCAAAGCTGCCGCATGGCTCTACCACTGTTAGTACATATTAAAGAAGTATGTATTTAACCTTTAAAATATTAGAAATCACTGCGGAACCTACTTTTTACCATCTTATCCCAACATGCACTTGGGCCTTTCTTACAGTTTGTGCACTTAGAACTACAAATATAATTATATAAAAACTAATCACAATAAATTTCTTATTCAATCACTCGTTCAATGACATATTATCAAAATATTTTTGATTCCTGTGCTTCCAGGGTAAACAAAGATAGGCGTAGGTATTGTATTCATTTGTTATGACTTATTGTAACAGATTGCTCCCCCCCCCCTATTATTTCTCCCTAATTTAACTAACTATATGTATATATTTTATACTTATATTTTGTATAAAGTGGCCGTCTATAAAATATAAAATTAACGTGACCAGAGTAAACAAATATATTTTGATCTTTCCCAATGATCTTTCTAAAGGTTTCTAGGTTCAGTAACAGGGTCATTTGTAATTTTTATGGCGTAATCTTCTTATTTGGGCCCTTATTTACCTTGTGTTTGTTTAATAACTTAGTTCTTTTATGAGTCTTTTAGAAGAATGAATATTCTCTAGAGCAATTCAATGCCATGGGTATGTGCCTTATATTATTTAAAGCTAAGGGAACCCCGTTCACGAATACAGGGCTCTAAAAAGGTTAAGAACATTAAATCGTTCCTATTGCACTTGTATCAGGTTTGTATTTAACAATTTTCGCAATATTTATATAAAAAACCTGATACATAGGCATCGCTATCCCACTTTTTTTAAATATGGGGGAGGCACCCCGTACGTGGCGCCACATACGTCGTATGTGTGGAAAATGGAACGTGGTCCACAGCAACATAACTGGCGAACCAGTAAAAGAGGGCTTGGCCTCTTGGTAGTTAGTGCGTAAACACAAACATCGACCGAAGTCGCAAATGTCAATGCGTCTAAACGCCATACAGAATACGATCAAATCCAGCTACAGTGAATGTACGTCACACGGTGTAGGCAAAACTGGCCATAAAAGTCCTTCGTGAGCGCCACCACCTGCCAGACCGCCGCTCCTGCAGACGCGATGTAAGTGTATGGCATCACCACCGATTACATCATGATCAGCACGGCTGCCACAGAGCAAGCCAGCCACAGAGCGTGCCATGAGTCTACCGCACAGCTCAAGGGAATGGCGACGTTGTTCGGTTTGCGTTTCTTCTTTTTTTTTCCTTTTCCAGGATGGGGCCCAACTCTTGTAAAAGCGAGGGGCAATTAAAGGAAGTAGGAATAATTGCCATCAGAAAGTGTTGATGTCACTGACGTTGAGTACTTATATGCATTTTTCGATCATGTTTGTCTCACCCACCAACAAGTTGCCTTCAATCATTCAGAGGTGGGAAATTTACAGAGATATATTATAATGTTGTTATATAAACATCATGGAGGGCAGACAGTCTGTAGTCTCGTAATGAAGGGATCGGAATTGGACAAAGCTACTTAGATGTCAGTGTCAGTTAGAGTCAAACCAAAATACAGAGAGCGCCATTGAGAATAGCGACCCGCCAAACAACATTCGCAAAGACGCAATGCTTCAAAATACTGCAGGTAGCAGTAAGCATCAATGCAACTATCATACGGGTTGCGCCCCCTCACAACACACCCACATGATCGCTATCGACTTTGGTAACAAAATTGGTATCGTTGTTAACTAAAAATAAATAACACCAACGTATCATAGTAGCACGCTACTAAGACGCCAGTAGTCAAAAATCCACGTATCATAGCGCTAATGCACTAAGACGTAGAGTAGAGTATGCGAGCTATACTTTAAAGTCCTACCAAACATACCCCAAATCGAAAGATAGCCGACGTATCATAACGCTATGCGCTAAGACGCCGCTCACAAACGGTATGGGTGTGCGATGTCCAAGGGTAACCCGTATTACTACAACAAATCCGTTTACCACCGGCTCTAAGATGATATGTCTAGGTCACATCGGTTATCCAAGTTTACCTCGGTCTCGGACGCTTGTAATGCAGTCTATACGGCACTATAATATTCCCCATTCAATTTCTATTAATATTATGCTTTTACATATTCACAACCTTCCACATATTTGCTTTATTTCATAGACATTACGTTTATATGTCTATAATATTTGGGACTTCCTTCTACCCACAACCCTACTATTGTAGTACTTATGCATTATAGAGACCTTCTATAATAATGCTTGTGTTTCATCATCATCATTACAACCCTTCACAAGTCCACTGCTGAACATAGGCCTCCCCCAAGTAATGCCACAAAGCACGGTCCTGAGCCACCTGCATCCATCGACTTCCTGCATGTCTTACCAGGTAGTCGAGTAGTAGACTCAGTAAGTGCTTAGGGGGGATGCCCTACACTTCGCCTGCCGGTACGAGGCTGCCACTCAAAAACCTTTTTTCCCCATTGGTTATCGGTTCTTCGAACTATGTGGTCGGCCCATTGCCACTTCAGTTTACTAATCCGATGGGCTATATCAGTAACTCTGGTTCTACTGCGGATATCCTCGTTCCTAAGTTTATCACGCAGATAAACTCCCAGCGTAGCCCCCTCCAGCTCACTGAGCGACTTTGAGCGTCCTCATACGGCTAGCAGTGAAGGACCACGTCTTAGATCCATAGGTCATCACTAGCAACACGCACTGGTTGTACAATCAAGTTTTGAGATTTTTAGGTATTCCTGACGAGAATATGTGTCGCAATCTCCCGAACATTGCCTGTTAAGTTGAGTCCTTCGAATGACCTCTCGGTCGAAGTTGGACCTACCTTGTCGGACTACTTATCCCAGGTAAACACACTCGTCAACAACTTCGAGCTTAGTGCCCCCAACAACCACCTACATATATGTGACATGGACATTACACATGACAGATTGAGCATAGTGCTTAGGTCCTTTATCGTCGGCAAATCAAAGGTGAGTGATGTACTCTCCATTGACGTTAATACAGTATCCTTTCCAGTCTAGTAGCTTGAAAACGTCTTTCAATGCAGTGGTGAAGAGTTTCGGGGACATTACGTCATCCTGTGTTATACATATCTGCTGTTTCGGTATGGTGAGTGTAGAGAACCGGAGACCCTTTTTACTGGAAACAGGGCATTCCATCTTAGTCCTTACGGATGACAACGCAGCTGCATTTTGAGCTACATTTTTTATGGGCCGCAGCAACCACTTACCATCAGGTGGACTGTGTGCTCGTTTGTCACCCTATCCTACAAAAAAAGTGTTTCAAATACTAAAAGTTGTATACTAGAGTTTCCATATCCTGATTAAGAACACTAAGCTTACCTAGGTGCCATAATACAGACTTTATACAGACAGATTTAGCTGTACAATGACTTATAAACAACTCTTATAAGGATACCTCTTTTGAACACATTTATACGCTTCTAAAAGAACTCTAATGGGGTGGTATATTGATATTCATAACGTACACAACTATAGCATAGTTGTGTACGTTATGAACATCAATATACGTGGTAGAAAAATGCTTCAGCTATATTAGGGGGTACAAGGACAACACTCTCACAGAATACCAGCGTAAAATTGTAGCTTTATGCTGCTGTGTTTCGTATGGTGAGCGTAGAGAACCGGAGATCTTTTACTGGATACTTCCCTCGTATCCATCTTAATCTTCATGGGTAACAGCGCATCTGCTAAGATATCTATAGGCCATAGTATCTACTTTCCATTCGGTGGAATATGAACTCGTTTGTCACCTAAATTCACAGTCTCTGTAACTGACGTCACAACTTTGCCTAATCTGTAAAGCCAGCAGCGCGGTAAACCGGCAAATCTGAATCATACATGAAGAGCGATAACGATTTTTAATTGTTTCAGTTACGACGTTGTTTTATAAACAGCCACCATTATTGATAGACGTTCAACGTTGTTTTTGATTCTTATAACGAGGTTTCTTCCGGTTGTCGGTTATAAAAGACGGCAATTTGGCCGTAACCTTTTAATTGAAAAAGTAGTTTAATACTTGCTTTACTGTCGGTTCGTTGTGGGATACATAGTGACAAAATGAAGTATATTGTGGTTGTCTTGTTTGCAGTAATTGCTGTACAGGTAATTAATTAACATAAAATATATTAACTAAGAACACAACTGTCTCATAACAATTGTTACGGAAGTACGCACAAAGACGGATGTATCATCTATTTCCGCACTCATATTCCGATGGGACGGCAATACGACTTACGGAAAGAGACCAGGCGCAGGGTTTACGTGCTTTCCAAAGCACGAGGTTGAAACACTGTTAACTTCCTGCTAGCTGCTACTGAATTTCTTGACATAAAATCCCACTAACTGATTCGAACCCGGGAACTAGAATAACGATGCAGTCACTGTTAATTGTCTACTTCAAATACTATTAGAATGAAAAACAATACTATAGAATTGAGATACAAGTGCGTAAGGATTTATTATCAAATGTTATAGTTCAGCTGCTCAGCGCCAGCGCCTGATGATGAAAAGAAGGACGTACCAGCGGTACCAGTGGTTGCTGCAGCCGCAGAGAATTCACCGTCACCAGCTGCTGTGGCCGAGGTAACAGGATAGCTTTTAAGTATGCTTGTACCAAACGAGAAGATGTCGATTCTGTTCACATAAAACCCAGAAAACGGACAATATTCCAGTATTTTTTTTTCAATTTCAAATCTATACAAATAAAAAAAATTAAGTGTCTGTTTGTAATGTCAAAATAACAGCTTTTTACTAAATGCATGGAAAGTATAAGCGGTACTTGTAAGAGAAAAACAGTTTTTAAAATTTTAGTCTGTCTGTCTATCTGTTTGTTCCGGCTAATCTCCGAAACGGCTGCACGAATTTTAATGGAACTTTCAGTAGCAGATTGCTGGTATTATGAGGAGTAACTTAGCCTACTTCAATTTTAAAAATAAAATTAGGATTCCGCACAAAAAAATAAAAACACGCAGACGAAGTCGCAGTAGTAGCAGTAAGTAGCTGTACTAGCTAGGATATAAAAGAAGTGAAAAACGAACGTAAAAGTCACGCGATAGCTACAGTAGCCCATGGAGACTTGCAATCAATTTTAAATAAAGTATGGGTCAGTGGTAGGACTTCTCTTCCGCTTAGCAGTCCGTATGAGTGGGTACCAGTCTTTCCTTACGCTAAAAAGCAGCGCTTACACTGCTTTGCTCCTGCCTAAAGGGTTATAGGGTGCTAGTACGACTTTAGACCGTGATGCATTCCATCTTAGTCCTCAGAGGTGACAACGCAACAGCCTTACAAAAAGGGGATGCTTTTGTCAGCCTGTCAGCCCTTGAAATGAAATGAATGATGAGATGAAATGCTTTGTTACCAATAAAAAGCGTCTCCAGTTCTGATCACTCTCCATACGAACCACAACAGCATTTAACGCTTATATGGTTTGTGCATCAGCGTAGCTCTACAATATTACCAATCCGCTCCATTAATTATACAGAATAAATGTGACAGCCGAGCACACAGTCCACTCGATGGTAAGTGGATTCTGTGGCTTATAGACAGACACCTACGTCTATCTTAAATTAAGAATGAAAATGCAGATGCGTTATCTCATACCATCCCGTGGGTGTCGTAAGAGGCGATAGAGAGAAACTGAATCCAGAGATGAGCAGAGCATCTTCTGATAACAGCTGAACAAAATAAAAAACCGCGGTCGCTAACCCGCATGTCACCTGCCACACGGCACATGTTCCTATGGGCTATCTATGGGGAGACCTATCGATCTCTTTTACGAATGTGCATTATCTAAACATTATCAGCCTTTCTTAATCTTCGAGTGAATATTAACCTTTCCAAGAACAAGCCGACAGGTAGACGCAACTTGAAAAATTTGCTCTATTTTTCTCATTATGCTGTGCAGGAGCCATGGTAAAACTTGAGCATTTATACTGGCACTGGCATTGCTATTCCCCTTACTGAGGGTATCTTTTAAAAAAATCTAAAATGATCTGCATAAGGGAATGCTAATAACGAGCTTAATGGTTAAAACAGTAATTTAAAAAAACGCGAATGCGTTAAAAAGTTTACTAAAATATAAGGGCCCTCAATTTTTGTATTTGCAGATGCAATAAGTAACTATTACATAGACTGTGTCACTCTCACGTTTTATTTATTTATTTATTTGCTTTTTAAGGGAACATACAGTACAGTAAAAATACTTTATAAAACATATAAAAGTAATCCTAAAACCAATGAAGTTTCCACAGATATCTAAAACATATTAAAAGCTTGCAACCACAATATGTTTAAAGATTGAAAAAAAAAATAACTAAATGGTATTTATAATTAAACATTAAGTACTAAGCATAAAATAAAAGTAATGCAATACACGCCTATAGTGAAGCTACCAATTATAAATTAAGTTTTACAATATTATGTCTCACACTTTTAAGATATATCTAGCGACACCACAAATGTTAAAATTTTTCAAACCGTTTAGACTATACAGCGTGCCAAAGAAATAGACATATCTTTGCTTTCCATCCCCCTTTACGCCAGACGTAAAATATTACTTTACGAAATAAGCTAAATGTTGACGTTTGAAGTTGTCGACTTGCTGAAAACGTCGTGGAATTGACAAGTTCGTGGTTTGTCTCAAACTTTCAATTGGTGGTTATTTCGCACATTTCGATGACGGGTGAGTGTCATTCATCATCGAGCCAGTGGTTTCAAATTTTTTCACTATGCGACTGTAGTATCCTCCTTTGGACGATCATGTTGACCAAAAGTTTCTCGTTACATACGAAACGTTGGACGAATGGAAATGCCATTTTGATAATAACTCGCTGTTCAACTGTATAGCGCCACTGATCTTGATAAACGCTGAATATTTAAAGCTGGCAATACATGTTATTCAAGCCTCAGTCAACGCGAGCGTAGACAAATTGATACAAGGCGGGTGCTACAGTCTACATGTTGGCCAAGTTTCAATGAGTGAACATACTGACATTGCCGACTAACATGTGGACATGACTTGCCGAGTTTTTTTTTTTTTTTGCGCCCGAAGCAATTAAAGGGCTACCCTATACGTAGGGAGGCGGAAAATGCATTACGCATACCACGATAGCCGGTCTATCGTGGTTATGAGGGGCTCACTGTCCTACCGGGGACCCTAAGTGATACCCTCAAAAAACCGCCTTTGGGGACAGGCAACCGGCTGATTAAGCTCTATTGTGCCTTATCATGTGCGACCCTCTTTTGGGAAAAGAGGGCGCAGGCGGCTAAGTGCCGCTGAGGGAGTGCCTACGAAGGAAAATTAATGTTAGATATTACAATCATTTTATTTAATTAGAGTTGGCCTGAGCCGCCAGGAGACAGTTCAGGTCGTTTGAAAGTTTATTAGGCGGGTCCGAGAGAGAGTTTCTCGGTCTGCGGACACGATAGCGAGAGGGGGGTGGGGCTGCATAAGAAGCTGCCTCACGAATTAAATGGCTTGGGTGCGACTCTGAGGCTTTGAAGAAGTTCTCAGAGAGTTTTTTAAAAAATTGTTGAATTGTTGGGAGCTCTAAGTCCCGATGAAGGTCGGCATTACGGACGTACCAAGGTGCGTTCGCAGCTCGACGACAGAAGAGGTTCTGAACTATTTGGAGTTCATTTAAAATGTTAGGGTTTGCGTGGGCAAAGACGGGGCCCGCGTAGGAGTCTTGCAGAGTACAGGCGAGCGCCTTTTATATGTGCAGAAAAACCGACACTGTGCCGAAGTGAGACGAGTAGTGGCGAGCTATCCCCAGTAAGTGGCAAAGCACGCCAAACGAACCGTATGTACACGTTGGCGTTTGTCTGCACTCGGCCGATATGGCGAGATGGCGACGAGCAATGGCAAGGCTGGACAAATGGGTTGTCTATACGTTGGTGCTCGCCTTCGCTCGACCAACATGTATAGCCGGCTTAACGTGACCGTCATCGGCAGTCAAATATACCTTTTCCCTATTGAAATGCACTTTATAATCTTAAGTAATATGTTATAAATACTGATTTCTTAAATTAGGGATAACCGGATTTTATCGTGTTTAATTAATTTGTTTACACTTATTTTTAATTCCCGACATTTTGGGTGCTTTACAGCACTCATAGTGACGGGGGGGGGGGGGGGCTGAGCTGTTTGACGTCCCAATTTCATAGTTAGCCCGGCTACCTTCAGTTTTTGAATTATTTATTAATTTTTGGTCCGATCTACACAAAACGAGCTTACTGATATGATTATGCAAGACTTCAAGATACTGTAAGCACGTTCGATAAAATCCGTACTTATATATAATTTTATTCAATGTTATTAGTAACTTTAAATTATAGGTGAAATCTGCTGCACCGGAATCATCTCCATCACCCAACCCCGAAGTGCCTGCCGCGGTTGAAGAGAAGAAGGCGTAATCGAGGTCTAAGATTCAATCTCACTGCAAGAGACATGCTCAGGCAAACCACCTTAGTGGGTGCCTAATGTATTTACTGTAATATTTGTAATAATAAAGTCTTTGATGACCTTGATGTTTCTTGTACTGTATTATCTATTTTTGTTGGTATGTAAATGTATATATAGTATGGGTGCAATGTGCCTGAAATAAAGAGAATTTATGTAATAAATCCTTAAAAAAAACGTGGTGGAGCACGGCTGTTAATCAAAAAATTTCTTAGATTTCTTTTGTTCAAATTTAGGTCCAAGTTTGGGAAAGAAGTACGTTCTTGCACGCAACGGGCATCCTTTAAAATAGTAGAACCGGAAAGTACGGGCCCCAAAACGTGGATATACTATCGAAGTCGTAACAACTTTTTAGTGGGAAGCTAATAAAACAACTAGAAGGTAAAATCGTGGTGATATTGCTTTAATCCTTATTCTGCACTAATTGCTGGTAAAGAATAATAAATCTCGGACACTGGCGCGGGTCACCAGCTCGAGCGTCGGTTGTCCCACTGTTACCTGCAATAATAAAACATTTTAAAGTTAAACCTACAGGTCACAATGTGAGAAAAATTATCCTTTGCTGTCTGGGGGTTTACTGAGTGTTAGCAAATCGACTACCACCATAGATTTTTCCAGAACGATACGACTTACAGACCGTCAACAAAGGAGCCTACTCTTTTTAAAAGGCCGGCAACGCATCTGCAATTACTTCGATGATACGCATGCTAGTTTGCCATCTCTTATACAACATGTAACAAAAACCTCGTGGTTCTCGTTAAGTGCGTTATCAGAATCAGTATTCAAACATATAGATATAACGTTTTTTTTTAAACTCAACCATTGACAATTTAAATTTTCTTTTTTCGGTTTTATTATCACTGCATTACCGATGCGCGTATCAGTTAGAGCTAATAAAACCATATATACAATTTGCAAATAAAAAAATATTTTAACTAAGTTAATTTCTTTTATGGTTGAGTTTTATGGGAAAAAAATATTTTTATACGTTTGAATACTGATTCTGACTGATTCGTTCCCGTTCAGGAACCGGGAACGACGGGGGTATTGTTACATGTTGTATAAAAAGGAGTCCTTCAGGGTAGGTATACCGCCCTTTTACCTAATTCTGAAAATAGCAGTGGCTGGACAGCTGTATTCCGTTCTGAAGGTTATAGGGAGCCAGGAAAATTGCAGGCTGTGAGGAATTCCATCTTAGTCTTCAGAGACAGCAGGGTATCTGTAACGTCTGCTTTGTTTGAAGTTGGCTGCGGATGTCCATGAGTTGCAGTCAGTAGCTTAGCGTGCCTTAGACGGGCACTGTATCAAAATTTAATGCGGGGCCCAAATGAAGGGTAAAGATTTTTCACAAAAGGAACAAAAACGCTCACATTGAATAAAAATAATTATAAATTGATTATAAGTTATGATTTCTTATATTTACGCGAACACTACACATTGATTAAAACTACTTAAACCTACCCCGTGACCACGGGTGCATTCCATTCTAGCACCCATCGGAAATTAAAAAGCAAATAAAATAAACGCGATAAAATCCATAAAAGTAGTTTTAATCAAATGATTATGAGTTATTACTTAAAATTAATATTCCTAGGAACTGGTTTATCTTTGTCATTCACTTAAACGGGGGAATCCTGCAATAACTAATGTAGGTATGCTGAGGCTGACAGGCACGCGTTGCGGATTTAGTAATCTGTGGTGGCGGGTCAATCCTGAAGTGAGACGTGTTGCCAACTTTTAGGTGCCCACTTGACCTGAGGAAAAAAGAGATTACTTTTTCGACTTTCATAATTGGAGAAGTGAAAACTTCTTTAGGCACGTTGGGCACTTTTTATCGTATGATTTTTTTCTCGGGAAGTACGGCCTAAGAGTTTAAGTTTTATTATACGTGGTATTGGTATTATTTATACGTGGTAGAGCCATGCTGCAGTTATATTAGTAGTATAGTTGTAGCACGAAAGGGTCGGCTCGACCGGGGAAGAACCACGCTCTCACAGAATACCAGCGTAAAATAGTAGCTTAATGCTGCTGTGTTTCGTATGGTGAGTGTAGAGAACCGGAGACCCTTTTTACTGGAAACGAGGCATTCCATCTTAGTCCTCACAGGTGACAACGCATCTGCATTTTGATTTGTAATCGGATGTAGATGTCTATGGGCCGCAGTAACCTCTTAGTGGACTGTGTGCTCGTTTGTCACCATATCCTATAAAAAAGGGCTATTGTGGATAACATCTTACGAATTTTTGCTTACTCACGTTCGGGGCCGCTGTTGCCCGGGGGACACGTATCATTGATACGTCCGATATGGTGCTAGCTACGCCCCTGGTTGCAGTTGAGACTTACCATCAGGTGGACTGTACGCTCGTATGTCACTTCAATTTAAAGAAAATTAAAAAGAACTATAGATAAGCTAGGTACGGTCGATACCAGTACAGTAGGTGTATGTCGACTGGACTCCCCAGAGATCGGTTCAGATCGCGGTTCCCTCGTTGCGTCTCTTTTTCTCCGCTTGTACGCCGCGCGACGACCTATCTCTTGTCTCCTTCGCACCGACCCCGCGGTAGTTGATGACTCTAGTTTTGATATAGCACATTACAATAAATGAACTGTAGTACAAACGAAAATATTCCATTCAGTTAATAAGATGCAAAATGGAAGCCATCTATTCATCCAAGCCTATCAAAGTCCACAGCTGAACATGGCCTACGCTCTATCACCTTTACGTCGTAAAGCTACGCTGCAGCTATATTAAAGTTGTAGTACGATTGGGACGGCTCGACCGGGGCAGGACCACGCTCTCACAGAATACCAGCGTAAAAAAGCAGCGTAATGCTGCTGTGTTTCGTATGGAGTGTAGAGAACCGGAGACCCTGTTTACTGAAATCGAGGCATTCCATCTTAGTCCTCAGAGATGACAACGCATTTGCATTTTGATTCTTAATTGAGGATAAATGTGTGCTTGATTTTTTACCCAATGCTATAAAAAAATGTTACCTGTCCTCTTGGACTGTCTTATAAGAGAGATATTTAGCATAGTTGTCACGCTTAGCAGGCAGGTTAGCAATTCTTATTTTGTAGTTGTTATCAGGAAGTCGCCGCTGCCCATCTCCTGTTTTGTATCCCTCCGTCTGGAACGGGAATTCTGCTCTGTAGAAGTCTGACTTTCCAAAACGGTGTTAGATTTTGACAATTTCATAATCAGGAAAAATGTTTCTCGAGTAGAAACCTAGTACCTGGTAAGCCAAGTATAAGGCGACTCTCACTAGATGGAGTGACAACCTGATAAGAGATGTTATGGCATTCCTTGGAGAGCCCTATGCTCAGCAGTGAACTTGTGGTAGACTCAAAACAGTAAGGGCAAAAAAACCAAATGAAATAAATTTTATAGAAGGTACAATAGGCGGTCTTATCGCTCTGGAAGCGATTTTTATATTTTTATTTTTTTATGGGAGAGGAGACAAACGAGCTTACGGCTCACCTCGTGTTAAGTGACTACCGCCGCCCATGCTTGCAAAATCAGAGGTATTGCAGGTGCGTTGCATGCCTTTTAGAAAGGAGTAAGCTCTTTTCTTAATGGTCCCTAAGTCGTATCGGTCCAGAAAAATCGCCGGTGGTAAACTATTCCACAGAGGTCGTACGCGAAAGAAAACTCCTAGTAAAACGTACAGTGGTGGACCGCCAAGCATCGACATGGTGTGGATGGTATCGGGAGATTTGCCGCGACGTATGTTAGTGAAATTTGGTGGCTGGGATTAATCCGAACAATTCCTCAGAGCACTCTCCCGGGTAGATGCAAAGAAAATGCAGAGGTATGCAACATCTCTTAGCAGCGCCAGTGAATCGAGTCAAACGGAAAGGACTCGGTCGTCGACGATGTGGATGGAGCTGGTACTTATGTGCCCCAGTCCAGAGATGGGAATAGTATTCCATGTGCAGCCGAACCTGCGCCTTGTAAAGTTGCAGGCGGTGTGCCGGCATGAAATACTTTCCGACGATGCTAATCACGCCAAGCTTTTTAGAGTCCAAAATGCCAATTTCGCCTTCTCTTCCAAGTGACCACGAAACTGCACGTCACTCGATGTGTCGACGAAGAGGATTCCGATACTGGCTCAGGCAAAAAGGGGAGTGCCTTGAAACTGAGGAGATACGACAAAGGGGTTCTTTTTAGCGGTAAACGCGCAAGCTTGTGTTTTCTGGGGATTAAACTGGACTAGATTTAATCACCCCCAGTTTTTGTACAACAAAGTCTCGACTTCAGACACAAGTTTGTCCCGGTATTCGACGACTTTTTCCCGAGAAATATTGCCAGACCGGTGTATAAAGCATCACTAGTGCTGTCGTCATAGTCATGCATAGCAATGAATGTTACAGGTTTGCAACATGCCATTGACATGTAGAAGAAACAGCGTTGGTGATAACACGCAGCCTTGTGGAACACAGCGTTAATGGGCTTGTATTCAGAGTATGCACCGTCTACTACGACCTAGATGATCCGATCAGCAAGAAAACCGGTGATCCAATTGCACAATTTCTCGGAAGGTCCATAGGAAGAAAGCTTCGTAAGAAGCGCTCTGTGCCAAACCCCATCGAAGGCCTTCGCTATTTCCAAACTAACAGCCAACGCCTCCCCTTGGACTCTACTGCCTCCACCTATTCATGAGTTAGGTACCTAGAAGATCACCAGCCGAGCCACCGCGACGGAAACCGTACTGGCGGTCACTAATCAGCTGGTGATCCTCAAGGTACCGCATGAGCAGGATGTTAGCAATAGATTCCATTCATTCTTTTGGAGAACAGTTCATTATTTTGGAGAACAAGGAGGTGATGGCGATAGGCCTATAGTTGGACGGATCAGAGCGGTTACCTTTTTTAGGGATCGGGTGCACGAAGTAGGAGTACCGGAAAAGACGCGTTAATAAACCGTCCAGGGGGAGGAGTGCTCTGCGCACCGAGCGTTGGGTAAACAGGACATCCTGCATGGAGCACTCACACCGCGGGATGGTCAGCGGTGTGTTCCCCCGTCATTAAGTGTCGATTTGGACGCAAAGAGTGAGCTCAGCAGATTGGCTTTGTCCTTTGCGGCATGGGCCAGTGAGTCATCCTCCCTATGCAGAGATGGGAGAGATGGCTGACAGTAGTTCCCTTGGACAGCCTTGGCAAGAGACCAGAATGCGCGTTTTACCGAAGGAAGACGAACTAGTTTCTCGCCAATTCTGCCGATGTGCTCTGACTTTGTCTTGACAATGACATTTTTTATGGACCTGCAGGCAGAATTATACTTCTTTTTAAAAGCGCTGGTATGTACATCCCGAGACGTCGATGCGCGAGCCCAGGCCTGGTAGCATCCTGTTTATGACCAAACCATGGCTGGGTTCTACCTCCCATGAGCAATATTAGATGATAAAGGGGGATAAACTGTTCATCCAAGTCCTGCTCCATTTTTAATAATTCTTCTGGAAATTAATACAGTGAATGAAGGTGGTAATAATCAAAATCTTATATTGTTTATTTGAGGGAAATCTATATCTGGAGCTTCTAATATTAATGGAACTAATCAATTTTCAAATCCTCCAATTATAATTGGTATAACTACAAAAAAATTATATTAAAAGCATAAGCTGTTACAATAGTATTAAAAATTGATCATCAGCCGATCGGCTTGACTCACTGGCACTGCGAAGAGATATGGCATCTCTTTGCGTATTTTATCGCATCTACCACGGGGATTGCTCTGAGGAATTGTTCGGACTAATTCCAGCCGCACAATTTCACCACCACACATCGCGACAAAACTCGCGATACCATCCATACCATCTGCATGACTGGCGGTCAACCACTGTGCGATTTAAAAGAAATTTTCTACCTTGCACAACTTTCTTGTGGAATCGACTAGCACCAGAGATTTTTCCGGGCCGATACGACTTAGGGACCTTCAAGAAAAGAGCCTACTCCTTTTTAAAAAGGCCGGCGACGCATCTGCAATATCCCTGATGTTGCAGTTGTTCATGCGCGGGGGTAATCACTTTCCATCAGGTGAGCCGTGTGCTCATTTGCCCTCTTTCCTATCATCCTAAAAAAAACGGAGACCCTTTTTACTGGTAACGAGGCATTCCATCTAAGTCCTAACATATAACAATGCATCTGAATTTTTATTCTTAATTGAGGATAGATGTCGATGTCGATGGGCCACATCATCCATTCACTTACCGTCAAGTGGACTGTGCGCTCGGTTGTTACTTAAAAAAATGTATCGACAGCCATGAGATCTGACGCGGAACAAAATAGGATCATTCTATTTTATTCGATTGTCTTACTACTTACTTACTACACTATACGAAAAATAATGACAAGGCGTATTTTAAGCTACCATTAAACCATAGATCACCTAAATATGTTACATGAAACGGATTGAATGATAATAGATCTAAAATAATGACAGGTTATGGAGCAATTACTGACAAGGGTGATTACCACCCTTAGAGGCAACTGTACAATTTTCGTTTGGTTTTGATGACCTTGGACTTCAAGGGCCACTTACTATCAGGTGGACTAAAAAGCTAAAAACTCCTTAAACGATGTTTCATAGTTTAACTTACGATAATGTTTCCTGCTTCACACTATCTATATTGATATTCATAGGTCTTGATACTTACGCAAAAAGTGTGTCCAAGACTTGTACGAGAACCTAGCTGCCTTATCCAATAGGGCCTCTTCCACAGATTGCCTCACAGATAATTGCCACGCTTATTAAGCGAGTTGCCAACCACATTTTTTTATTATTGTTGAGTTGTTATCTGAAGATGCATACTTCTGATTTAGTTTCCCCCTGTCGCCTCTTATGACAGCCACGGTACAAGATGGAGTAGTGGATATTCTTACATCGTCACTACACGGTTTTAATTTATTAAAATCTTGACAGCTTACCATCGTCGTCACGAGGTGGTGCTGGCAACGGACGAGGTACTATTGCAGCACGGGAAATATTCGAGCGACGGTTGTTTATCAAACGCACGAGGCCTTCTAACGCAGTCTGTTTGTTCTGGTAATGACAAAAAGAACTACAAGTTCAAACTCGCAGGGTATCGTTGACAAGTAATGTTCGGGTTGTCGGAAGGGGTTTTTAAATGACAACCAGCAGCGTGACGATATATCGAAGTATTTTACTTATTACAGCAGACTATACGACTACTCAGACTTGATGTGACCGACTGACTTAACAGACTATCGTAACGGACTGTCGTACTGGAGTAACTATCGTGTCGAACTGACTTACTGAACTAACTAATACATTGGGGTGGAGGACCTTATAAATTAGAACAATGTGAACAATACTATGAGAAAAGTAAACAAACAACTTTGGGCTCCGTACTCGTTAACAATCATTGGTAATTACTAAGTTGTTTACTAAACTTTATCTTAAATTTCACATTTAAGTATAGTTTGATTACAAAAATAGAGTAAATATTACAATCCTCCCCCTTTAAGAAAAATAAACACAGTTTATTTTAAAATTAAAATCGAACAAATAAAATAGTTATAACACTTCAATGTTAACACATAACATAATATACCAAATACAGTTACAATAATAAAATCAAATTATCCAACTTATACATTTTTCTTAACAATAAAATCAAAACTTTTATCAAAAATCAAAAGAATAATATAATCAAAATGCCAAAGTATAAAAATCTTAAATTACTTATACATATACAAAATTAATTTACTTTTAATTGTGCAATTCTTGCACTACGTCTTAAAGGTATGTCTGAAGCGCTTGATGTAGAAGGCACTTCTTCTAATTCAATATCTTTATTATCATTATTTACTTTTAAAGTTATACAATTCGTAATTCTTGCGCAACAAGACCTAGTATCTTCTAATGCTAATAATCTACTATTTCTATTACAAAAGAAATGTCTTCTCCATAAATATTTCGCTAAACGATATATTATATAAATCAAAACCACAATAGAGCAAAATATGTAAGCGAAATAAAAATTGTTAATAACCTTATCAAAAATCGTTTCATTTTCCATTTGATCAATAATATCATTAATTTTATCTATTTTGTGACTTGCCAAATTCAAACTTTCTAAATCTAATTTCTCGTGAATTTTCAATGGTATAAAATTTATTTTAGTTATATTTCTATTTTTCAACTTTTCGGTTTCACACGTTTTACTTGTATGTACAGAATATAAGGCAGTTTCTAATTTACATATGTATCTCCCATTATTTTGTAGAATTTTACAAAGATTCAAATTTTCTAAACTAGTATAATGAATTTTATTACTCGAAATTAAAAAGTATTTGAAATTAGATAAAACGAATATAAATGTATTATCACTACTTTTAATTGGAACTGGCAAAACATGATATAAATCGTAACTAACTTGAGTGATCAAAGGAGTTTTAATTACAAAAACAAGTTTTTCGTTTGTTACATATGATACAATATTTGCTAACGATAATAATTCTGGAATATCTTTTTCAACTAGCTCTAGAGGATATTTCGTTTGTGGAGGTAAGTATGATAAAGTTTTTTTTATTCTATTCCATATTGTTCTGGGGTTATGATTACTGGTTGTATGGCATTATTCTTCGCGAATAATATTGCATTAATAATTGTTGAAATTTCATTATTAACTTCGGTAGTTATCAAGGTCAATAATGACATGTGCTCGTCAATATATTGTTTAATTTTAATACTAAATATTTTATCGTCTATTTCTTTGGTATAATTTGATAATAAATTTAAATTTTTATTAAATATGTTCTCGTTAATATTTAAATCAGTAATCGTACTATTGAAATTAGAAATTATCGATTTAACTATATTAGATTGAGTTTTTAATAAGTTCAAAACTTTGTGTTCATTTTTATTAAGATTTTCAATTGCTTCATTGTATCGTTTCGCATCTTCGGCATCTAAAGTTCCAAACAATATTTTGAAAATGTTGCATACACCATCTAAATATTCTCTTGAACTGTTAATTGAGGAGTTATTTGTTCTAAGATTACAAGTGATGTCTGACACAAGGAAAATTTAGTAAAAGTTGCGTGATCACAAAGATCTTTGGTTCTAATATACGTATCATGAATTAAACTTATTTTTCTATGGATATCTGCTATATCTAAATATGTAATCAAATTCCATTCACTATCAAAATGATTTATCTTTTCCTAAGCTTTCGAAGTAAATACCTCCTTTATCTATTACTCTTATAGTATATAACTTATCACTACTTATTACATACGGTATCCATGTCAGGAATATCAGAATACGAACCAGGTTCATTCTGAAACAAATGCACGTTTCAGTCTATTTGTATGTACTTTTAACTTTTTATTTTTTATCTTAACTGTTACGTTAGTTGAAGAATTGACTTCAATAATTTTGTAAGGTTCTAGCCAATAAGGTGATAGTTTACGTGGTTTTCCCGGTTTTATTGCCTCGTTACTTAAATATACCGAATCTCCTATCTTGAATTCTATATCCTTACACTTTTTATCGTAAATTTGTTTATTGTACTCTTTGGAATCAATAAGTTTGTTCCTTGCAATATCTCGTGACTTACGTAATTTTAAGATAAGGTCGTCTAAATAATTGTCATAAAAATATTTGAATTCAGGTTCTTTAGTTATAGAACTATGTAAACATGCTTTAAAGCCAAAAATTAATTCGAATGGTGTAAATTGAGTTGACGTATGAACACTTGTGTTATAAGAAAACATAGCAAAATTTATCCCAATTAGTTTGATCTTCGTTTACGCAATGTTTAAGATAATCTGCTAATGTTGAATGACTTCTTTCTAATGCTCCATTAGACTGTGGATGGTAAGCACTAGTATTTATCTTTTTTAATTTTAAATAATTTCGAAATTTCCTTTATTAAATTTGAGGTAAAATCAGCCCCTTGGTCTGTTAAGAGAATTTCAGAAATTCCAAATTTGCAAATAAAATTACGTACAAAACAATCTGCAATTGTTTCGCCATCGTGTTTAGGCAAAGGATAAGCTTGAGAATATTTTGTCAAATCATCTTGTAAAGTTAAAATGTACTTATTTCTATTTTCTGACAAAGGTAGTGGACCTACAATATCGAGAGCAACCTTTTGAAATGCTTCTGTAGACGTTGAAGTGATTACCATTGGGTTTTTATTTTTCTTTCTATTGATTTTATTTTTTTAGCATGATTCGCATTTTTTAATAAATTCTTTTATATCTCTTTTCATACTGTCCCATTTATAATTTGCTTTAATTTTTTATAAGTTTTATGAAACCCTATGTGACCTGAAATTATATTAGAATGATTTTCTTCTAAAATAGATTGTATATCCTCCCTCTTTGGCGTTTAAACCTTCCCGTGATAGACGTTGATTGTTATATCTGTATTTTTAAATATATATCCAATTATTGTTCTTACTTTATACCATTTAAGACGAAGGTTACAAAAACTTATGAAATTAATTGCCTTAATATTTTCCTGTAGTAATACATTTTTAAATTCTTAAAGCACTCATATATGTTTTCGTACGTTACACTATCCCAATAGTTAATTTTTGGAAAAGAAAAATAAATTTTCTTACCACTCTCTGATATACTCAGGACATCATATTGAGTTGGTTTCTTGGACCTTAATTCTTTGAGATAAGATTCATATTTTAAAAGCGTCTTATCATTCTCGACATCTAAATCGACCGATGTAAAAACTACTATGTTTACATTATTTGGAAGCTTATCGTTATGTTCATCGAGCTTATTAAATAAAATCGGTTTTCTTTCCATTTCTTTCAAAAATGAAGAATAACTTTCCCCATTTCTAGTTATACTATTTATTTTCTTAACATCACCGTTTGATGTATTTTCCGGCTTAATCCTACTTAATGCATCAGCATTTTGATTTAATTTTCCTTGCTTATAGATTATTTCGTAATTATATTCTTCTAATAAAAGTCTCCATCTGACTAATCTAGATCCCGGATCTTTAACATTCATTAACCAAGTTAAAGGTTTGTGATCAGTAATAATTCTAAACTTGCGTCCATACAAATATGGCCTAAAGTGTTTTACAGACCATACGATTGCTAATAATTCTTTTTCTGTCGTTGAATAGTTTATTTCACTTTTATTCAATACTCTACTCGCGTATGCAATTGGAAGATCATCTGATCCTGAATTTTGTGACAAAATACCACCTATTGCGTAGTTACTAGCATAACATAACATAAACATAAACACTCACGCCTGTCACCCAGAGGGGTAGGCAGAGACTACAGACTTCTATTTGGCACGATCCTGACACACCTCTCTCGCCTCCTTCACATCCATACACCTACACGCATACATGCTCGTCGGTTAAGGGTACTCCTAATTTGGCCCGTTTTCAATAAATCGCCAATTTGGTCGATAAATTTTCGCCTAGGACGTCCCTTTCCGACTCTGTCATTCACTTCTGCAACATAAATTTTCTTTGTCACTCTTTCCTCATTCATTCTTACCACATGACCAAACCACCGAAGCATTCCTTTCTTAATCCTGGTCACAACATCATCTTGCAAACCACACTCTTCTCTTATTACACAATTTCTTACCCTGTCGTTCAGATTCTGCCCTAACATACTCCTTAAGGACCGCATTTCTACTGCGTTGATTCTACTCTCGTGCTTCTTCTGCCACACCCAACTTTCACTACCATACGTTAAATTAGGGACCAACACAGCACTGTGAATTGCCTCGTGCTTTTTTGACACATTTTGACTCTTCACAATAGAGTGCAGGGCCCCATCTACTCTATTTCCCGCATTCACTCGTCGTTATATATCCTTATCATATCTCCCATCCCTGCTAAATACGCAGCCCAAATATACAAACTCATCTACTTGCTCGATCAACTCCCCTTCTATTCTTATTTCACAAATCGTTTTACTTTCTTCTCTTCCAAAAACCATAACCTTCATCTTACTTGCGTTCACTTTTATACCCCTTTCTTTTAATGATCTGTTCATTAAGGTAAACATCATTTGCAACTCGGCC